AGATTTGTGGCTTCTAGAGCTAGTATGAATTTGAGGCAGACAAGTAGATAAAAGTTTGATGAAGTTGGAGCAGGTTTTGGAGATGATTAACTGTTCTGTTCTGAATAATACTTTGGTCTTCTGAGATTGTCCCAGAGAAAAAATAATCAGATGAAACCTGTTTGCGCAAGGGCCAATTAAAGCTGTCACTGTATAAATGAGAATCAACAACAGTGGGGGTGGTGAACTAAAAGGGAGGAGAGGCTGGGGCTGTGTCCCCATGCTGGGTAGATGTCTCAGCTAGCTCTGTATGCTAGTTCTTGTTCTTGCTTTAATGTGAGCAGCCTGGGGCAGCTCATCCACCACAGGTTTTGTGCTTTCCTTCGCTAGTTGTCATAGCACTATTGTTTTCTCACCTACCACTCCTGTCTGTGAAAAGCTTTTCTATAAGCTGATAAATATGCTGTGACATTACAGTCTTTAGAAAACACCTGTGGAGATGTTAGAACTTTTGTTGACCAGTCATTCAGAATTAAGGCTTCAAGGGAAACCCTATATTTTCTAGAGGGCCTACTTTGGCCTGTCAGCGTTCCATATGTCTCCATTTTAATAATGCAAAGATGATGGATAATAGTATCAGTAGTGAGCTGCAATACTAAATATTTTCCTTTCTGAATAATGCTGGTCAGTGTTCCTGAGTCTATATGCTTTCCATAAAGATCAGCCCTAATGAGAGGAACTGCATGGGAGAGCTTGACTTCTGCACATGGCACGCAGTCATGCCAGGGAGATATTGAGAGGATCATTTTCTGTTTATTGACGTTGGCTGGTCTTTTCACTCAGTGATTTCTCTGGCAAGCAAGGCCTCTGCGCTGTGCTCCCATCCCCATCATGTGTCCAGAGCCGATGCAAATACACAGTGAAAATGAAACGTGCGTGCACACCGCGTGCAGAGAGAAGCACCTCCCTGCTCTTGAGGAGCCAGGCAGCGGGAAACGCTGCAGGCCTGCGAATTATTCATGTAGTCCCAATCTAGCCATGCTCTTCCTGTGACATGTCCAGCTTTAGATCTGTGTTCAGATAACTGCTGTTTGGTAATTGGTTTTTATTTGTGCAGAGCTATAATCAACCTAAGAGAAAATGCTACTTTGGAATCCAGCTCTAATTGGCACGGGTCTTATAGAGTCTTTTAAGCTGAATGTTTTAGAAGCCTTTCAAAGGTGAGGTTTGAAGTAGAAAAAAAGGGATGATCTTCATAGTTTTGATGCCAAACAAAGCATTATTTCTTATAACCTTTGATTTCTGAGATCTTCACCTGTATAGCTCCAACTTTACTGTGATGTTTACTGCCTCTGTTCCAGTGCTACCAGGGAAATGCACTAATTGCATTAATAACTTTAGCCTATGTGGGAAGCCCTCTCCCCAGACTGCTGGCCCTAGCTTGGTCATATTGCCATAACTACCCACCTACGGTCCTCTACCCCAACCGTCTTTTCACATATAGATAAAACGCACCATTTTTACACTTGTAGGGTAGGGTCAATACTTTTAAAGGTTTAGAAAGTTGCTGTTCCTGTGGTTAGAGGATAAGAGCCTCCCTGAGGAGTCACAGCAGTGGACCATGCTGCTTCTAGGCACAGTGGAATGGGATTATCTCTGATCCTTATGACCAACCTGAAATGTGTCCAGTTATACTGACTTCCCTGAGGTTATCTTCAGGACAAGCTACAGAAAACATGCACTAAACTTTGCGACCATCTGCTTGGTGAACTGAAAGAATATCTGTAATTCTTCAGATATGGTTAACTGTGACAATCGTTACAGACTCTAATCCTTAACATCAATATTTAACCAAAATGAAAGTGAATTGAAAGAGATTTTTATGCAATCTAAATGTACTTGGCATGTCTGTATCTCTGCATCAAGACAGAAAGCAGTATTCTGTTCCGCTTTTTGTGTTTTCTAAGTTGGACCAAATTGCATGTGGAGTGCAAGTATTCTGCAGCTGAATGGTCTCATTGGGACTGGAGGAAACCTGGTCTGCTTTGTGCAGTTATTCGCCATCTATTATCGTGTCTGTTTTCTCCTCAGTTCCACACAATATTTCCCCAGAATGCTCAAACTTTCTACTGACTTTCTACCTGAGTTTCTACTCTTCTGCATCTTGTCAGAGTCTGGACTTCTGCGTAGAATTGAACAGAGTAAGATACTGGTAAATAAAAAATAGTCCTGTTTGTGCAGATGTAAGCAAGCATACAGAGTGCACATGAAGAAGACATGGTTGATGTTGCAGATGTCCAGCTCTGGATTAATAAAGGCATCAGCTGGGATTGGTAGTGGCAACTGATGCCCTGGTAAAGAACATCTGAATTCTTTATACTCTTTATGCTTTGTAAATTCTTAAGCATCAAGTCATTCATTGATCTTCCTGTGTGTTGGTCGCCTCTGATTTTTTTTTTTTTTGCTTTCTGAGGAATCTCTGATAGGGCAGATTACTGATGACAATCTGAAACTTCTCCAAGATGCAAACTCTACGTATTGGTTGTCAGATGATGGTGAACGGACTGCAAGAACTCTTGGTGCTCTGTTGAGTCATTAAGAGCTGATAAGACAAATCATATTGCTTGCCTAAATATGTGCAATGTGTGCAGTAAGAGCTCTCTGTAGAACTGCTCCCTGTAGAACTGCTTCTTATCCAGGTTGCTAGTTCTGTGGTGAAAGATATGTATCCCATAATTTTTCGTACCTGTGTTTTTGCTTATGCCTTTTTAAAATTCTTTAACAATTTTTAACTTTTAATTCCGATTGTTATTTTTTAAGCAAGAAGAAAATGCTGCTCTAGATCCAATGATGTCTGTGTATTACAGAATCACAGAATGGTTAAGGTTGGAAGGTACCTCTAGAGATCATCTAGTCCAACCCCCCTGCTCCAGCAGGGACACCT